TTTAATTTTAAAATATAAAATAATAACTTTTTAATAAATATAATAAGTAAAAGTGTATTCCAATTACTGCCGAAGAGGCAGCTGAGTAAGATAAAAACACAAATTTAGTTTACCATATACGAAAGCAGGCCAATGCCACATCCAACTAAAAATCTTCCCAGGTCAAGCCACAAGATATTCTGTCAACAGAAAATAAACATTGAACATTATAAGCTGAGAGTCAACAGGCCATTGATTTGGCTCCTACAAATTCTTTTTAATTAATTCTAGGGCCTTATTTTACCATTCAAACTAAAAATAAGACTTATGAAGTGAAAAACCAAAAAAGCTTTTAATATCAAGGGCACGCTCTATAAATATTATGTCATTCGAGCTGTATTATATTTTTTTATTTTATTATGAGAAATGTTTTTCATTATTTTATATGGTTTACAAATTGATGAAAGGACACACGAAGAATGGAAAACCTTTGAGAGTGATTCTGCAAGCCATCCTATAATGCATAAAATTTCTGAAATTCCCATAGCCTGGATAACATTGTAAAGCAATAAATCAATCACTGCAAAGTTGAAATTTTTTATCAATTCTTGAAACTAGAATTGAAAGCAATGAATGAAGAAAGCCTACATATTTCCGTCCAGCTAGGTCTGCAACCCTGCCACTCAACACTGCCCCAATCATCCCTCCAATTGTCAATATTGAAGCAAATAACGAATACTGCACTAATGAAAAGAAGAATTATGAAACTCTACCAAGCGGTCCATTGGGTTGCGTTCCTTAACGAAGAGTGGTGGTACTCACTCTCATCTGAGAATCAAATCTCAGGTTTAACAAATAATTAACTTAATTTACTAACCATTACTTTTGTTAAAAAAAAAAAGAATTATGAAAAAGAAACAAAAAAATATCCCCAAATCCCTTGGTATCAAAGAAAACATAAATAAAAAAGGCAAATGAAATGATTCACTTTCCATATAAAAATTTAACTTGTGAATTTTAACAAAAATCTTACATTCAAGGTAAAATTAAATGATTTTTAGTCATATACGTTTCTTATTATATTTTGAGACGAAATTTTACCACTCAACTACTAGATCATACATGTGGTGTAACCATTATTAAGTGAGCAATGCTAAGGGCACTCCCCCTTGCACTCTCCCACCAACACCTGCCTAGCAATTTTGCCATGTTAGCTTTAATTTTAAAGAGGGGAACCGACAACTTAGAATTAGAGGTTATCAGCTCAATTTAATGAATCATGTATTAATTTTTATATTTTTTTAGTTTCATTTATTATCTTTAAACTCTTCCAATCATGTCTATTATTTTTCACATTTATTTCTATTTCAATTTCATCTAGTCCATTAAAGATAACGAAAATCTTCTTATCCTAGCAGAAAACATTTAATACTATAACTATATTTCATTTGATTTTTTAGTCCTTGAATGTATATTTACCCTAAAAATAGTTTTTATTTTTATCTTACTAAATGTGTTTTTTGAAAAATTGTTTTATAGGGTAGACTACATATAGTC